GTTTTCCTTGGACTACTGAGTATTTTCACTACTGAAGAAATGTATTCTCTTATGTTTAAGGAAGCACTAGGGAATAATAATGCAGACACTGACGTAACTTGGTCTAAGGTCAAACAGACAGCTTCATAAATATTCTAGCTGTGCCGGGCTTGCTGCACATTACTTCCAATATAGAAGATCTAGTTTTTTAAACGTGGTTTGTAACAAGCTGAGCAGAGTGCAAGCAGAGAGAGACAGCAAAGTTTGAGAAAACCTGTAGCGACTGAATTTTAGATTGTAAACTCTTTAGACTGGGATGTATGAGATGTGAGGACCTGATTGTGATTTAAGCCTTGAGTAACTCTTGCAAAGAGAATGTTATAACCTAGTAGTGCTGCCGGGTGGATGGGGTTTGGAGAGCTAGGATCAAGACACAGTGAATCATTGAGGACCATTTCTCAAAAATAGCGCTGGTCTACTCGCTCCTCTCTTGATGGGAGAAAAGCCTTATGGCACCCTACAGTAATTTGCTTGGGTTTCCTGTTTTCAGACTGCTTTTATGAGCCCACAATGTCATTAGGTACAGTTTAAAAACTATAAACAAAAACAAACCTATGACGTCTTCGGAAGGCACATGGGATTAGAGGGGTTTCGTACTTAATACAGTAATCCTCTTTTAGAAATAGATCTTAGAGCCTTAACACTAAGTTAATATTTGTTTCTTTGTTAAGAGTAAGATGATGTACAATTTGTTTCTTGGCAATGTTAGTGCTCGCTAATCCATCAGCTAGGGTAGCTGATGCTCATGTTCTATATCTATAAAAAACAAAACAAACCCCCAAAAAACAGTGGTAGAGCCAGCCCCAGAACATCTGTGTACGCTCCAGAGACTGGCCAGTTTTCTAAAACTTTTGCCCTTCCTCTTCTTCCACTCATATATTGTTGGGTTTTTTTCTCTGGTTTTTGAAACATTTACATCACTATTGCCCAAGCAGGAAACTCCAGCTTTGTAATTCTGCAACCTGCAATATGCTTCATGTGTCTCAGGCACATCAGCATGGTTCCTGTTTCTAAGACACAAATGAAAAAATACTGTTCCCTCTTTCTTATAGCTCCAAAATAAGTTCCCTCTCTTTCGAAGCTGTGGTTTGGATTTGTGTTTTAAGGGGCAGTGCTGTTGCTATCTCCTTTCCCTCCCATGAACGTAGCGGGACAGCTCCCTCCCTCCCTGTCAGCAGGGAGCTCTCTCAAAGAGAAATGCCAATATTTGTCTAGCTTGGTTTCTTTTAAAATGGCACCCAATGGGCTTCTCAGAGAAGCGGGGGTTATGGATACTTTGCAGTGCTATGTCCCTTGGGAGCTTAAAACACTGGGGCCCAGTCTGCCTAACCTGTGAAAGCAAAGCTTCACATGAGCAGCCAGAAGTGTAGATGCCCGTTTAGAAGAGGCAAATGAATTGTTCTGGAGCTGCTGAGAGCAACAAGTCCTCCTCTCATTTCTAACCTGACGTAAGGGGTGGTTGAGTCACGTCTGTGAGTTCACCAGGCAAGGTGGCACCAGAACTGGGACTGCAACCCAGGTTCCTGGGAGCTCAGTTATGCTATATCATTATTGAGTTATGCTGTGTTCATAAAAGCTCTTGAGTTTTATAGTGTAAGGAAAAAGGGGAACACAAATTAAATACTAGGTTTTTCAAATTCTTCTTGAGTCTAAGCAGCAGTAGCTTCCTGAAATGGTCTTGGAGTAGCTGCACTGTTTAATCTCGACAGTATTTTTCCTTCAGTTTTAGATCCTGAAATCATTAATTTAAGTGTAGAGGATCATAAAATCTCTCTCCTCTGCTCAGCATTCTGTATCTTAGGTTCATTTCAGAGGCTTTTATAGAATTTTATTTTTTATGATCTTTCCACCTTCACCAGAGCATTGTAAGGAATTTATTCAAACAGCTTGTAGTTGTGTATATATATATATATATATGCCTAAATCTATGTATAGGTATATATACGCATGTTGTGTGTAATATTTTGGCATATTATTACCTCAATAACATGGTTCAACAAACAGCATTATTATAATAACAAAACAGGAGTCTGTAGTCCCGTAGGCATCTTCAGAGGCAAACAGATATGAGGCTCCTAAACCCAACCAAAAGGAACCTGTTAGTTATTGAAATACAACTGCACTGCTCTGTGCAGTATTAAATATTAAAAAAAAAAAAAAAAAAAAAGGTTGTTCCAGAATTTTCCCAAGTATTTGCTTCCTTGGACTTTTGATTGCATTAGTACGGGTATTTCAATGAAATTCATGGAGCGGAAAGGCTCTCCTGGCCAGGCAGGCCTGGGCAGCTCAGCACTGCGGCCACAGAAGCAGCACAAAGCAGCATTTGTCCCGGGGCGGCCGGAGGGCGAGGACAATGTTTGCTGTTAAATCATGGGGGCAGCTTTAGGCCTTCCTCTTCAATTGTTCTGCCAGTCTGCTTCAAATTGGACCTGGAGTTACTAAGCAAGAGGGTAGGCTCCTCAACGTCCCCTTGGTATCAGTTTCAGCTGTGACTGCCAAAAGAGGTTTTAGGGGAGGTCTGGTTTTTAGGGCCTACAGCATTTCTCCATGAGCCCCTGCCTCTGTTTACGGAGTGGGATGCTGGACAAACTGAGTGCACAGGGCAACCTCAGAGGCAATCTGAACGAGAGAGTGGTCTCGGACCTTCTGTGGCCCTTTT